GCTTTTTGTGTGTCTGTGATGCGTCACACAGTGTGTGCTCATCGGTTTGTCTTCGTGAGTCCCTACACGCACCCAGAACGTGTGAGTTTGAAAGTGTGTGTTTGCTTGTGTATTTTCGGAGGCATCTCCCTCGTCCACCCCTCCCCACCCTTGTATGAGACAAATGACAGCAGTCTGGATGCCAACCTTTCTTTCATCATGCCCTCCCCCCTTTTCTTCTGGTGTCATTCCCAGAAGTCTGTGCTTCCTCAGTGCACGTACAGAGACTCTGCCCTTTGCCTGTCGTCAGCCCCTCTGGCTGTTTGGAGGTCGCCATTTAGCAACATGCTACTTGTTAACCATTATTCACCCCGCCCCCTCCACACTGGGCCCAATGACCTACTAACAGAGAGCTCAAACAAACGGCTCTTAACGTGCCTCTGTTGTTAGAGACGCCTGTTGTTGTGTCCCATCAGGATCACCTTTACTAGACTGTCTTTATGTAGCTGCAAGCTGTCTGCAGAGTTGCACGTGAGGGTGTTACAGTCCACATGAATAGACAGGAAAGGGTCAAGATGTGGTTTCTACATTTCAGCGTTACAACAGGTTTCTTTTTGTTGAAATAACCGAAACTTCACAGAGCTAACGCACGCTAATGAAAGAAACTGTTGGTTTCTTTTGTTAATACTGCGTACCTTCAACAGACTAACAGAGTGGTAGAATATCTTCTGTTGAAAGTTTCAATGGACCACGTTTTAGATTTGACACATGAGATTCAGTTTACCTGTCTTTAGCCTGGGCAAAGAATGTCTGTTGTGTTCGTCTTCAGTGGCGTTTGAGGTAGCTTTCTAAAGTTCGAAAAAATAACCTTGATGATGTCAGTGGGGCTATCTCCGCATGGACTTGAGTAATTCAATACCCGGTACTGGTAAGTTGTTGTATCAGGCAGCTCTATGTTGGACTGCCAGGATCATCCACTCCTGAAGGAATTTCAGCTTTTGCCCTCATGACGTCTCTTCAGGGGACTAAGAGATCCCACGTCTCCTTCATCCCAAGTACCATTAATAATAATAATATGTTTAACAGCATATAGCTCTCTGGCTGGATTCGTTGCACTTCCCTTGAACATTTGCACTCTTGTACATGTGTAGTTTAGATGAATTTCCATTTCCCTGCTCTAGCTCTGTGATTTATTGTGTTGATGATGTCTCTTTTGTTGCATCCATGACCTCTGCCTTCAAAACAGATTTCCCCTTGGGGGAGAATAAATATAACCTTGCACCTTGAACCTCTCATGTCTCTAGTGAGTCCCACAACTGGAAGTTTAACCCTACCTCACTGTAGGACCCCTCTAATGCAGAGTCGACGTGGGAGCTAAGAATAAAATCTTAATGGTAATCTCTCAGGGTTAATGTAGATGTGCTCGCAGTGGCCGAGTGCAAGCAGAGATATTAAAGGAAGTGGAAAGTGTACGTGTAAATCTCTACCAGCTGACAGATTTCTGTTGTCTCGTTGTATAGCGCATCACCTGACTCTAATCCAGTTTTGCTCTGCATTTGTGAAGACATGGTATCCTTCACTGTGCCAGGAGGTAGTTCAGGGTCAGATGTCCCTCCAATGAAGAGGTTATCTAGTTCATGGAGAGACGCATCTTATTTACATAGAACACAGAGTTTTCTCTGCTGCCGGGCTGTCTGCTGTGTTTATCTGCTACATTCGATTTAAAGACGGGGTCAAGGGCTTTGAAACGAGTCACATGTCGCCCGAAAGAACTCTCAATGTTTAAACAAGCCCGTAATATTTGCTTGTGTCTGTTTGCAGCAGGTATGAGCATGGGAGAGTCAACACCCGTTGCATGTCGGTGTCAACCAGGCCCGATAAGAAGTCCCTCTTGAAATTTGAATTTCAACTGCCATCTATTATCAGTCGTGAACTGATCCCATTTACGTGGGCAAATTCAACAAATGAATTGCAAATGTGAGCAGATGCTTCCGCTGCCCCGTCACCATTACAAAGGAGTCTTAAGATAGTTTTTTTTCTCTCAGGGGATTGATTCCAGTTTGATATCTTCACCCACTGAGGATGCAGGGCGACAGAGACCGGGCCTGCTCGGGCTAGCCAGTGTGTGAAGGGAGCAGTAACGTGAGATGCAGCCCTGCAGTGTCCCTGCATTCGTGGGGGGTGTGTGTGTGTGTGTGTGTGTGTGTGTGTGTGTGTGTGTGTGTGTGTGTGTGTGTGTGTGTGTGTGTGTGTGTGTGAGTGTGAGAGAGGGTGTGAGACGGAGCATATGATTTTGGTATGAGAGAAAGGAGCTAGAGCTGCAGTAACTTTACACCCCTCGCCCTCTCCAGCTGTCACTATAAAAAGACATTTCCAGCTGATGAATCAAAGTTGCGGAATTAGAGCTCACGTTGTGTGTTTAATAAACATCCAGCGGGCCTCGATATAGGTCTCGTTGTTACGTGGGTAAGTCAGCGTGTGTGTGTGTGTGCATCGTGGATCACAGAGGGTTTAGCCAAATCAGACGGCACCACGCACTCGCACTAATACTCTTAATCCGCCGGCCTCCTCCGTGTCTGCGAGCAAAGGTGTGTGTTCTCATGGAGGTGCTTTACCACTAACAGAGGGCCGGCTAGCATGCTCTCAGGGTATTATGTCCAAAATATTTCCCCCTGACACAGAGATCGTTTTGCTTTCAATGGATGTGAGAAGGACTGACAAGAGAGGGGTAAGAAGAAGGTTGAAGAGAGGAATGAGGTAGAAGTATGAAGACAGAATGGAGGTGAAGCAAAAAACAGAGGGAGGAGAAAATGGATCGACCTAGGTAGAGAACAGAGAAGATATATGAGATGGTGAATGTGTGATTATTTGCCCCGATCCTCGGGAGGAGGCGGGAAAAGGAAGGGAGGAGAGAGTGCGACTGATGGCGTTAACAGAAAGGTGGAGAAGGTGTTGGAATTTGTTGACCCAGCTGAAATGTTTATTGTCCACTCGACTCCCGCTGTGTGCTTTTTGACTTCAGAGCCGCCGATTTCTGTTTCCTTCTACAGCGAGGGAGTCCGCTGCTGCCTCCGGAGAACCTCTGACCACTGCGTGTGTGTGTGTGTGTTTGACTTTAGACTGTGGCTGCGAGGGCCTGGACCTGTGTGTCGGTTTGTATACATGTATTTCAGTGTGTGTGTGTGTGTGTGGGTCTGGTGCACCCCGCCCTGCTGACTCCTTTAAATAAGCACCGCTGAGTGTCTGTTTGGACTGTGAGGAGCGAGGGCAGCTCAGCCACGGTGTGCAGGAAGTGAAATCAACTACTCGTGGGAATAGATACAGGTGCATTTACTCATTTATTGTTTGGTATTAATTGGACGCAGGCCCTTTTTATATGCAAACACACAGGAATACTCTGGAGGTATTCCAGGAGTTAAAGCTGCTGAACCACTGTTTTGGAGGCCCTAATGACAGGATATCCTTGGCCCCGCCTCCTTCATAATCATAATCTTTTTCTTCCATTCACCACACCGTTTGTTATCCTACTTCCCTTCCCCTGACTTTCTCACTTACTAGAATACATTGTTTAGTATCTCAAGAGAATCTATTGGACAGGAACGGCTAATGTTGTCTGGAATAACTTGGAGGAAGTCAGTGTTTTGTTTGGATGCTGGGATGTCGTAGTAAGGTAAATTTACCTAAACTCAGTCAATTAATGGTGCTTATCTGCTTTCTTCTGCTGGCTGACATATTTTCTAAAGGAAATATGTCTTATCCATAGGAAGTAATATCAAACTAATTTAATTTTAACTGGTTATGAAACAGTCTCAATGTAATACTGATGTCTCTATATGACCGGCATGAGTGGCTGTTTCTATATAGTTGGACTCCGCTACAGTAAAATGAGAGCTTTTTCTAAAAGGACTCTGGTGGCTCTGAAACACTACCGCTTTTGTCCAAAGGGGCAGCAAAAATCAACACAAGATGAAAGTTCCTCGTAGTAGCTTTAAACTGTAGGAAGAGGTTGTTTTTAACCCTCTGAACCCCAAAACCCGTCGGCGGGATACAAAAGCACGTTTTTTTTTTTAACAATCGGCAAAAACTACACCGTTTATCGTATCCAGAAGCGGTAAAGACCGTCATTGTCACATTTTCCTCTTTCCGACGGCCCTTGAATACATCATGTTTGATGAAGGGTTCAGTCAGAAAACGCAACCGAAGCTAAGCTTAAAATTGTGATAGTTCATCAAAAATGTCTTCTTTAAAATCTCGCCAGGAAAAAAACGACCCGAAACTGCTTGGGGTTCAGAGGGTTAAATGATGTGCCCCTTTTAAAACCCACACTTCATAACGTAAATGGGATGGCAATTTGACATTTCCTCATGTCTGAGTAAACCCCACCACTAAGTGACATTTCTGTACAATATATGGCTGCAACCTTTCTAGGTCAGTCAACCTATTGATTAACAGACAAATCACTGCAGCTCTAGTAATGAGTCCAGTCATGTACATAGAAAGTAGCATCCAAATATGGACTCACTCCAGACTGGTCTACATCTGCTGCCCGGTTTTTACCAGGAAAAGTCTCCTTGTGATCAGGAAGGAAGCATTTTAGATTTTTTTTTTTTTAGCAGCAGCTGCAGAAACGGCAGCAGGTTGTTTGGAGTAAGCAGGAAAAAGGCCGTCGTTCTCCCGAGAAGCAATCGTGGCTGTAAAGTCACCCATCTCTGATTTGTGTCTTCTGTGCATCGATTGTTTTCTCCATGGTGATCGCTGGTGTCTTCCTGTACCACAGCCATCGACATTGGCTTCCTGCATCGCGGGTGCCTCTGCCATATTAGGGGGTCGGAAACGGCACTTCAAAAGAGTGACAGGGTAATGAGAAGGTAGATCATGTGACTACGAGGAAAAAGCTCTTGCTTCCTGCTCTCCCGACTCTCTTCCTGCTGCTCTACAGAGGGGGCGGGGTCTTCCTCGGCAGTAGGAGGAGGGAAGCGTATGAGCCCGAGGAGCAGAGAGACGCTCAGGTCAGTGTTGGTTTGGCTCGCGATCACACAGGAACACACACCACGCGCTCTCATCAGACCCAGAGCCCTCACCCGCTTTCTGTCAGTGTCACCCGCGGCTCTTTGAAGAGTCCGTTTTTTGGTCTTCCTGGGTTTAGGATCTCCCGGTGGGACTCGTATACATCATGTAAGTAAACTTTACCTCCTGTCCTGTTTGAGCAGATCAGAGTGCCTGCAGTGTGTTGACATGGGGTTGTGACCTTGTGCTTAAAAAAGGGGGCTCGTTTCTGTGGCAGGTATCGACAGCAAACTTTACACTTGAGAGTGCTGGTTTGACTTCAAGATTTTTATGTCACTAGATCTTTAATGAGTTTGTTGCATGTTTATGTGAATGCATTCAGTCAATAGTATCTTAGACATAGGATGTCAGCAATAGCAAGAGGACCTGCACATGTCTTTGTTGTGGTAGTTTGGAAAACCATACAGAGCAATAGAAATGCTCTATTCTGATACAGGCAGCTACTGTGTCTTTTTGTGTCCCAGGCTGTGCTTCCTTGTACTGGAGATTGAATGCCAAAATCTAAAAATACTGGTCTTGATTCTAACATTTGGCAGCTCAGCTGTAACGGCGTGAGAAACAGCTGAGTGGATGTCGTACCTCCAACAAGTTTCACGTGGATGCTTTTATTTCAGCGTTTCAAATAGGACTGGGCGATATATCAATATTGTATCCATATCGTGATACAACTAGACTTTTTGGGATATCGTTAAATCATAACAAGGCATGAGTGTTGTCTTTCCTTGGTTTTAAAGGCTGCGTTACAGAACAGTGATGTGATTTACTGAACTTACCAGACTGCTCTCGCTGTTCTATTATTAGATTCTACCCACTCAGTCATTATATCCACATTACTGATGGTTGCTGCTTTTTTGTGAAAGCACAAGATTTGTTTAAAAAAATGCTGTGATGTTTTCTCCACATCGTGTTATCTTGGCAGCAGTGCTTCGGTTTGTCCGCACACTGAGCTGATGAGGGTCAAAACAGTTTCATGAGCTCGTCCGTCTCTTTTCTTTCTATGATGTTCAGAGTGGCTTCTCTTCTGTTAAACCTGTGTGTGTGTGTGTGTGTGTGTGTGTGTGTGTGTGTGTGTGTGTGT